CCATTGAGATTATTATAATAATACATCATTGGTACAAGTTTTTGGTCCATTTGGCTTGCGCTTCTTGTCTACCACTCGTTTTTCCTCATCACCAAAGAAGGTAATAATTTGTTATCCTTTCTAAATAGAATTATATATGTGAAGCCTGGAATGGAATACAGAACAAATTAGCATGCTTTTTCTGTCTAAGTAATGTCCCATACCAATAATGGACCAGGAAAAATGAATTCTTTTGGTTGTGATATCTTGTTTGGAAAAAAAAAGGTTTATGGGGCATATAAATTCCATGAATGGTTAGGGCAAGGTTTATGTGACGCCCCTAAGTGGGGGTTATGTAATAAAAGTGCGGTAACGGTGCACAAATAGAAATAAAATAAAATAAAATTCCTGAAATAAAAACAATGTCTGCCCATGGGCCTTTAAAACAAACTCTCCGTTAAAACTCATAATTCATCGTTACGTTAAAACTTAGATCCACAGTATAATGTAGCACCAATAAAATATTTAACAGTATGATCATCATCATCAGTTACAATTCTGTCCAAAGTAATCCAATCAAGGTCTTACACAAATTTAAGGAAGGAAACTAAAAATGGTAGATCCTCTACGAGGGGCACGCTGATCGGTGACTACTCCTCGTCCGAAAGGTTGCACTGTACACCCCCTGGAAATGAAAGAGGACAAAGGGGGTGAGCACGGAATGCTCAGTAGGAGAACTATTACTCACTTTTAGTTTTATTTACTTTTCCCAAATTAAACCTGCATGGTTAGTAATTTCTACTTTTTATGCACAATAAATTATGAAAACCTGTGTCAGTGAGATAATCTAGTCCGTACACTCGGGACAATAAACCCCCGAAGGGCACGGTGACTTAGAGAGACTGATGGTAGGGAACTCTAACTCGATGTCCTTACCAGATCAGTTCTCGAACCACGGGTAAGGGTGAACTGTCGTTCTGGACCCTCACCAGGACGTAACCACTGTACAGTAACCTTGGGGATTCTCAACCCCGGAGAGCGTCATCACCTCTCCCTCTTTTACCTTTTCGGGTTCACACCCAGGGATGGTGAACGGCCACACCTACTGTTAGCACACTATCTCACTATCGTGTCCGGTTTACATTCTCCTAACCATGCTTTTGTGTCAATTTCCAAAATTATGTTAAAATCTCTTGGCCACGCTGTACATTACAGGACGGGCCCCTAATGGTTCTGTTTCAAGTCATATCGTGTAACAGTAATAAATAAGTCTGATATATAATTTAAATCTTCTCAAATTTAACAAAATAAATTAAATTAAATAAAACTCCACAAAAGTTAAGTAATAGGACCCCTACCTCAAAA